TTTTGTAAATCCAACCGTTAAATTGAAAGAAGACAACCTCCCTAACAGCTCGAGCAAGAATACCACTACTTAGGCTCCTTCTTGTAATAACTTAGTTTATTTAGTTCATTTTTCTCGCTTTTTGACCTTATGCATTTTTTTCGATATTACTTGCTTGATTTGCATTCGTTCCGAGGTTCAGTCTTGACCTTGGCTAATTATAGTATAACTCGTATCAAGGTTTGAACTCGACCTCGGTTTTACACGATGTAAAATAATTCGCACCTAGGTTCGAATTCGACCTTGGATTAAGATAAAATAATTCGCGCCCAGGTTCGAGTTCGACCTTGGCTAAGTATAATTCGTACCAAGGTTCCAATTCGACCTTGGCTAAGTATAATTTGTACCAAGGTTCGAACTCGACCTTGGTTTTACATGAAGTAATTCGCACTAAGGTTCGAAATCAACCTTGGCTTAAGATAAAATACTTCGCGCCAAGGTTCGAACTCGACCTTGGCTTAAGATAAAATAATTCGTGCCAAGGTTCGAACTCGACCTTGGCTTAAGATAAAATAATTCGTACCAAGGTTCGAATTTAACCTTGGCTAAGATAAAATACTTCGCACCACGGTTCGAATTCGACCTTGGCTTGTCATGGTATGATTCTTGCCAATATGGTGTAAAATTAAGAGAATATGAGTGGAATGAGTCATTTTCATTGATGTTGTGGGTATGCCTCGTTAAAAAACCTCTCAGTCAAAACCCATTTTTCTATTTTTTGGGACAAAAGACTTAGTCGGGAAAAGAGTGCATAACCCATTTGTACATTTCAACTGAAATAAAACTTGAGATGCGTGACGTTCCAAGTTCGCGGGATGGTTTTTCCATTAAGCTCTTCTAGTCGGTATGCCCCGTTTTCGAGGTCTTTTGTAACTCGAAATGGGCCATCACAGTTAGGCGCGAGTTTCCCTTATGACGAGTCTCTTCGTGCTTCGCCTAGTAGTCGCCTACCCGGAAAGAGCGAGGTCAGACTCGTGTGTTGTACCTCCAGGAGGCTCGAAGTTTGCAAGCTTTCTCGTGAATCCGAGCCTCCTCTTTAAGCTTATCAATCAGGTCGAGGTTGACTGCTGTCTCTTGGGAATTTTGCTCACTATCGAAGACATGACATTAATGAGATGTCTCGCCGACCTCCACTAGGATCATGGCATCGACTCCGTAGGTCAGCCTGTAAGGCGTTTCCTGCGTTGTTGATTGGGGAGTACAGTGGTACGCCCAGAGAATGCTGGGGAGCTCATCGACCCATTATCCTTTGGCGCTTCATAGCCGCTTCTTGACCTCACGGAGTATTACTTTGTTTGTAGCTTCGACTTGGCCATTGGTTTGGGGATGCTCCACCGAGGTCAGGAGGTGCTTGATTTCGAGTTCATGGAGGAAATCCTCGAAGCTCTGCGTGATGAACTCTCTGCCGTTATCAGTGACAAGAGAATGTGGGATGCCAAACTTGCAAATGATGCTCTTCCAGGTGAATTTCTATACAATCTCGGCAGTGATCTTGGCGAGTGGGCATGCCTCGATCCACTTGGTGAAGTAGTCGATTGCCACTAGGAGGAATTTGAGTTGACCCTTCGCGGGGGGAAATGGTCTGAGGATGTCGATTCCCCACTGGACGAAAAGCCACGGTGACATCATCTGGTGAAGGACTTCAGGTGGTTGTTGATGTGCATTGCTGAACTGCTGACATTCCTTGCACCTTTGCACATAAGTCTGGCAATCTGACTTCAGTGTAGGCCAGTAGTACCCAGCCTGGAGTACCTTGGTCGCCATTGAGCGAGCCCCAGATTGCATCCCACAAATCCCTCGGTGGATCTCCTTGACGACATAGGTGGGTTGAGAGTCTGCTAGGCATTTTAGCAGAGAAGTGGAGATGCCATGCTTGAACATCTCGTCTCCAATGATGACGAACTTAGCCGACCTTATCCTCATCTTCCGTGCTTCATTTTTTTCCTCGGGCAGAGTACCCTCCTTTAAATAGTTCCAAATGCCCGCCATCCTTGGTCTTCACTGTCACTAGTGCTGACGACTTTCTCGTCTAGACTGGGTGAATTCAGGGTCTCCTAGATGATGGTTCGATGTTGCCCAGGGCATTTCGTACTGGTGAGTTTGGATAGGAGGTCGGCCCTGGCGTTTTTCTCTCGGGGCACATGGTGTATCGTGAATTCATCGAAGGAGGAGATTTGTTAGGATGCTACATGAAAGTACCTCTACAGTAGGGTATCCTTGGTTTGGTATACCTCACTAAGCTGCTCTACCATGAGTTTTGAGTCGCTGTTGCAACTCACCCGCTATGCTCCAAGGTCGCGTGCTAACCTCAATCCTGCCAGTAACGCTTCGTACTCTGCTTGATTGTTGGTCACTTTGAAGCCAAATTTAAGAGATTTCTCTATGGTGACTTTATTTGGTCCCTCCAAAATGATACCTGCACCACCACCTTTAGAACTGGAGGATCCATCAATGTGTAAAGTCCATACATGTTGTTCTTCATCCGCGGTTGGGGTGAGTTCGGCCACGAAGTCTGCCAGGCATTACTTTCGTATTGGATGCCGAACTCGGATAGCTCCACTGACCATGCTATCATATGCCCGGCGAGCTCTAGCTTTCTCAAGGTTTGCTTAACTGGGTAGTCGGTTTTGATGACCACCTGGTGACTTTGGAAGTATGGTCACAGGCACCAAGCTGCAGTGACGAGCGCTAATGCCAGCTTCTCGATCATTTGATATCGCTTCTCTGTGTCTTGAAGGACTCGGCTGATGAAGTAAATCGGTATTTGCACTTTGTGGTGTTCTTGTACTATGGCCGCGTTGATGGCACTTTCTACCACGGCTAGATAGAGGAGGAGGTCGGAGTGATGATCCGGCCTTTGAAGGACTGGTAGAGTGGTGAGGAAATTTTTGAAGCTCTTGAAAGCTTCTTCACATTGGTCAGTCCATTTGAAGTTCTTTGGCTTCCGCAGTAGGATGAAGATGGGCCCTGCTCTCTCTGCCAACCTGGGGATGAAATGAGAAAGGGAGACTAACCTTCTTGCCAAACGTTGAACGTCCTTGATAGTCTGCAGACTCTGCATCTGTATAATAGCTTTGCACATCTCCGAGTTGGCCTCAATTCCCTTGTTGGTGATCATGAAGCCAAGAAATTTACCTCCCTGTACTCTGAAAACACATTTCTCCAAGTTTAGGCGCATGTTGTGCTTTCAGATTTGGCTGAACACCTCGGCCAAGTCGGTGGCATGAGCCTCAGCTGACAATGTCTTGACGACCATGTCATCCACGTACACCTCCACGTTTCTTCCAATTTGGTGCGGAAAAACTTTGTCAATCAGATGCTGGCAAGTGGCTCCAGCATTTTTGAGGCCAAAAGGCATCACGCGATAGCAGAAGTTCGTGTGATCGGTGATGAAGGCTGTGTGCTCCTCGTCTGGTGGGTACATCATGATCTGATTGTACCCCAAGTAAGCGTCGAGGAAGTTGAGGAGGGCAAGGCCGAAAGCGCCGTCAACCAACCTGTCGATGCTCGGAAGGGGGTATGAGTCTTTGGGACATGCCTTGTTGAGGTCAGTATAGTTGACGCACATGCGCCACTTCCTTGAGTTCTTTTTAACCAGTACCACGTTCGCCAGTCACGTGGTGTATCTGACTTTGCGGAGCCCGCGTTCATCAACTGTGTGTCTCAGCGACGATGGCGTCACGTCGTTCTCCTCAGACTTTCCTCTTTCTTTGAGCGATCGGCTTAGCTTCCTTGTGGATGGCTAACCTGTGATAGATGAGGTTAGGATCAATACCTAGCATGTCTGCATTTGACCAAGCCAAGAGGTCTGTATTTTTGGAGATCTCCTCAAAGAACCGTTGTCGCAACTCTAGGTTTAACTGCTGACTTATCTTTGTACACTGTTCGGGGAGTTCACCGACTTGAAGTTCGTCAAGCTCGTCGATGGGGCTTGGCCGTTCGTCATGAGATTTCGACCTTGGGTCCAGGTCAGTGATGTCAACCTAGGTGATGTGAGCTACCGTGGGGGGGTCACCTTTGTGGCGTTTCTCGGATGGCGAGACCTTCAAGCTTTTGGCATAGCATTGCCGAGCTGTCTTTTTGATTTGCTCTGACTAAGATGATCTTGTCATTGCTCCCCGGGAACTTCATCGTCAGGTGTGGGGTGGACACCACAACTCTGAGTTGGTTTAGGGTAGGCTTGCCGATGATGATGTTGTATGACGTATTGGCCTACACGAGGAGGTATCTGATCATGATTCTCCTTGAGTCAGGAGGTGTCCCAAAGGTTGTCAACTGGTCAATATATTCGCGGGTGTGGACTCGCTCCCCTGCAAAACTAACTAATGGTTCCGTGTGAGGTTAGATAAGGGAGTGAGGAATGTCTAACCTTAGAAACGTCAGCCAGTATAGGATGTTAGCCAAGCTTCCCTGGTCGATCAACGTCTTGTTGACTTCCCAATTGGTGACTTCCACGGCGATGACCATAGGATCATCCTGGTTTGGACAGATGCCAGTATAGTCGTCGAGGTGGCAGAATGGACATTGTTGATGTTGTGCAAGTGTCTTTTGCGCGCCGAGCTACTGGAGCCTCCCCCTACGAAGCCACCTGTAATTGTATTGATAACTCCTCGCAAGGGAGCTGACCCTGTATCCTGACTTACCTCGGACTGCACCGTACCAACAGTGTTTTATTGAGATCCAGAAGGTTGGTCCGTACGAGTGCTCGAACCTCAGCCTCGCCCTCGTCCTCATCCGTGGTAACCTCCTCTGTGAGATTGCTACCGTTGGACGTATTTCCCGAGGTGCCCTCCTTGGACGAGCTCCTCGATGCGGTCTCTGAGTGTGCGACATTCCTCAGTTGTATGACCATAGTTTCTATGGTATCAACAATGTTTGGATTTGTCTACATTGTTGGGACTGTGTCCAGGTGGTGGCAGGGTGAGCAGATTGTTGTTGCTAGCCTCCTCCAGGATGTGTACTCAGAGCGCATTCAGGGGGGTATAGAAGTCATACCTCCTGCCTTTGGTTGCCCTAGCAACCTTCTTGAATTGGCTATCATTGGTGACCTTCATCTTATCCTTGTGGCCGTGGTCCGGCTTCGCCTGTGATTTTCCATGAACTTGGTCACGAAAGGCAGAGTGCTCTTCCATATGAATGTATCCTGCAGCTCGGGCACGGAGTTTGTCCATGTCTAAGGGAGATCGCCGACACAAGCTATCAACGAAAGGTCCTGGCTTGAGCACCATGAGCATGGCATGTAGGGCGACCTCGGGGTTCAGGTTTTGGATCTTGACCGAGATGCTGGCAAAGCGCTCCATGAATGCCCTTAGTGGTTCGTCTTCTGCCTGTCTGAGACTGGCCCAGGCGACGGATGTGACGTGGTGAGGTCGACTCGTTGCATACTGCGCCGTGAATCGCCTTACCAGAGTGTCAAAGTTATCGATCGATCCCGCCGGCAATTGAGTATACCAGGCGAGTGCTGCTCCCTTGAGCGAGGTCAGAAAAATCCTACACAGAATAGCATCCTCATTAGTGTATAGGTTTACCTGTGTGACGTACAGATCGCCGTGCTCATCTGGGTCAGTAGTGCCATCGTAACGGTTGATGTTGAGAGGCTTCCATCCAAAAAGGAGGGGTGATGGAACTACTTGGAGAAGATTGATGTTTCTTCAAGTTGAACCATGCTAAGTCCCTTCTTCTCTTAAGGTTCTTCACGTCAATGGATGATTTGGATGAGTTCAAGCTTCAAAAAGCTTGAAGAAGCAACAATGGTGGTTCGATTTCTCTTGAAGGAGAAAAACATGAGGAACCAAGCACAAAGGAGAAGTTCCTTTGAGAAACTTCTAGGAGAAGGAGATTCTCCACGAAATTGGACTCTTGAAATGAGAGAGAATTTTTGAATTCTAAGTCTCATAAATGTCAAAAGTGATTACAAGAGTAGAAATTACAAATATTTAGAGGTAGGTAGCTTAAGGAGCAAGCTAACCTTAACCACGGTTCACTAGGAACCATGGTAAGGTTAGTTGACCTTCTAGGTGAGTTTAGAAACTTGTGGAGCAAGCTTCTCACTTAGCTTGCTTGGGAAGCAAGCTAATGAGAAGCTTGTAGCACAAGTTTCTCATCTCCTTGAAGGTTAGAGAAGCAATTCGGTCAAAGAAAAGAGACTAGGCAAGGTGGGTGGATTTGGTCTCTTTTGGCTCCTTGAATTAATTTCAAAAAATGTTTGATTTGGTTTAGTTAGCTTCATCCAATGATGATGAAACCTAGCTAAATCAAATCTATGAAAAATTAGGAGCAAAATGAGTCTAATATGTAAAATTTTGCCTAGGCCCAATTCTGGCCCAATTACTAGTCACACCCTCAAGCATTGCTAAATACTACCACTCTTTTCCTACTGAAAAAATAGAAAATGAGTGTATCAACAAAGGAGCTTAAATGGAGTCAAACTCTCTAAGTAACCCACCCTAGAATCAATATACAATGACTAATAAAAGAAACTAAAGTGCCTCACAAATACAAAGGCAAAAATAAACCTATACAAGAGAACTATGTACAAGATATTTACAACTTGAACTATGCCTTCTCTTCATGATAGAGTCGTCCAAATTGAAGAGTACCTTGGGCTTGGAAAGCCCACTGGTCTTCAAGGTGTCCACGTGTCATCAAGGTGGCCATAGCTCTAGGGATTGGGCCCTTGGCTCATGGTCCATCATCCCATTCCTCTTGGTTCCTTCAATGTATCACCTCTTGGATTCCTTGGCCTTGGCCATAGTCTATCATCCCCTCCCTCTTGAAAAGGATTTGACCTCAAATCTCGAGGGTCTTCATGACGGTCGGCCACACCTACAAATATATAATACAATGCATTAGAGGTGATGATATTCTCAACAAATAAATGTGAAAGGTATATCCTAGAACGAATCCTTTCATGGAACCTAAAGAAATCAATGATACTAGACCTTTTAATATAATGATTAGGATCCTCTCCTAAACATATACTAGATATATTACTAAATCCTAAAAATGTGCTAAAACTAAAACTATACCACACTAAAGACTTAATCCTAAAAATTAGAACATCTTGCCTAAAGTACCCTATGTGGTATCCTAGGCATTTCCTAGAAAATAAGGAAAATACTACTAAGAAATTTCCTAAACAATTTTGGATTATATTATTT